ATGGAACCCATACCTACTTGGAACCCTGACTCTCCTTGGGTGGCCAAGACCTGAGACCAGATAGCCCAGGTACCTAGGAGAAAACCAAATATTACTGTTCTGCTAAAGAATTGTAACAGTAACATGACCCCCAATAATATGGTACTGTACTCACTGATCAGTCAGTGCCTTGCTAAACCATCACCAGAGATTTTTTTTGTTTTTGTTTTTGTTTTGTTTTGTTTTCGAGACAGGGTTTCTCTGTAGCTTTGGAGGCTGTTCTGGAACTCACTGTGTAGACCAGGCTGGCCTCCAACTCACAACCTGCCTCTGCCTCCCAAGTGTTGAGATTAAAGGTGTGCGCCACCAATGCCTGGCCCAAACAGAGATGTTTTCTATTGCCCAGATAGGAACAAATACAGAGACCCACAGTCAGACAATGTGCAGAATGAGAGACCTAGAAAACACCAGCCCAAACTGGGATGGCTCTATCAATCAAATCTCTCCCCTCAGGGCTCAGGGAACTCTGCAGAAGAGGAAAGAGTGTAAGATGGGATTAAGGCCTTCTAAATACAGCACAAGTGGTGCACATATGATGTCATGGAGACTGTGGCACCATGCACAGGTGTGTACAAGATAGGGTGCTAGAGTGGAGAGAAGTGGACACACACCCTGATCACTAACCATAAGCTAGTTTTTTTTTTTTCTCCAGGGGAGTCTCACTGGGGAAAACAAAACAAGGGTAGAACCCTATGCCCAGCAGAAGACCAACACAAAACGAACCCAAAATCTTTGGAAGTTGTCTAATAATGTTGTATTGAGGCTTTTTTTTTTAAAAAAAAAAAAATCTTACAGGTCCTTTATGGTTTCCAGTTTTGTGTTTTCATGGGATTCCTATGTGTGAATTTTTATGTCTCTGCAGTTATGTGTTTCTTGTGATTTTCTTCTGTTTTGTCCTATTGCGATTTGGTTTTATCTTATTTTACTATTATTTCTTAGATATCAGTTTGTTTCTCAGGAGACCAAAGGAAAAAGGTATGGATAGGGATGAGAAGACATAATCAGAATATATTGTATGCAAAGAATTTTTCAATAAAAGAAAATAAAATAACAGAGAGGATAACTTGCAATTCAAAGAGCAAAAAATGACATACTAATATAATCTGTTGTCAAGCCTTTAAAAACTAAAAGCTCAGAAAAACAGTAACACAAACAACAGGGCTGGAGAGATGGCTCCGCAGTTAAGAGGACTGACTGCTGCTCTTGTAGAAGGGCTGAGTCTGAATCCTAAGCACATACATGGCAGCTCACAAACATCTGTAACTCCACTCTTGGGGATCTGACACCTCATCCTGGCATCCAAGGGCACCATGCATGCATATGGTGCACAGACACATGCGGGCAAAATGCCCACACACGAAAGAGAAAATGTTCCAAAAACTTAAGAAAAACAAAAAGCATTAACAAAAAGGCTACTAACACATGAAAAAAAATGCCATTTTACAAACTGGAACATCAAATGTAGGCAGAAGAGATATACATAAAACTGTGAAAAAATATACACAGTAATATAAAAAACTAAGTAACTATAGTTATTATACAGAGGAATAAATGGACATTCTGTGACAGGGCTAGGATGTAGCTGAGGGGTAAAATGCTAGCCAAGAATTTACAAAGGGTTCATTCCAATCTCCAGCAACAGACACAGACACAGACACAGACACACACACGAGAAAGAGAAACAACCCGAACCTGTTGAAGTGAGATATGTTCTTACCTAGAGGAACAGATCAACAGAAGATGGCCTGTATAATATGCACTACAAACAAGCATGGCTCACAGCACTGCTCCCCAACTTCATTTACCAAAAACAAAAGAGCCTGCTTACAACCGTACAGAAAGACAGAAGCTATTTATGTATTAGAAAACAAAATCACAAAAGATAGCATGTTTTTCCTTTCTTTTTTGGATTGTTAAAAAAGAACGTGTTGGGGCTGAGATGGGTTAGTGCTTAAGAGCACTGGCTGCTCTTCAGGAGGGCCTGGGTTCCATTCCTAACACCTACATGGTAGCTCACAAAACTATCTGTAACTCCAGTTCCAGGGGATCTGACACCCTCACATAGATACATATGCAAGCAAAACACCAATGCACATAGAATAAAAACGGGTATGTGTGTGTGTGTTTCCATACTTTAAGGTCACAAGTTGATGGAAGCCAGTAAGTCAAGTGTTTGCTGTGCCTGAACATAGATATATTGGAGTCATGTCATGTGATTTTACTAAAGCTTTGATAAGTAATCAGTAAGTACATGTAGTCTACTGTGGTAGCTCACTCATCTCACGTGCCACTTTTGCACTCAGGAATCTGAGACAGGATGATTTAAGAACGAGTGCAGACCAGCCTGTGCTACATTGTGAGATCTGCCTCAAAAACCCAAAAAAGAGGGGCTCAACACATGACAGATGGTCACATTTGGGAATCTTTTAAAAGATAAGATATATCACTTTTATCAAAGACAACCTATTAAAAATTAAAGAAAAAGCCGGTGTTGGTGGTGCACGCCTTTAATCCCAGCACTCGGGAGGCAGAGGCAGGTGGATCTCTGTGAGTTCAAGGCCAGCCTGGTCTCCAGAACAACTGCCAGGATAGGCTCCAAAGCTACACAGAGAAACCCTGTCTCGAGAAAAAAAAAAAGAAAGAATAATACTAACTTGGAAGACCTCAACTGATAAATAGGGCTGGGGAGATAGTTCAGTGGGTCAAGTGTTTGCTGTGCCTGAACATAAGGACCTGAATTTGAATACCAGCTCCCTTATAAAAGCTTGGATGGTAGCACACATCTGTATCCCAAATGCGGGAGGCAGAGACAAGTGGATCCCTGGGGCTTGATTACTGGCCAGCCAGTCTAGCCAATCAATGAACTCCAGGGCCAGGGATCAATACAATAAGACAGTATCACAGAACCTGTGGTGGCCACAAGCACCGCACAAATGAGCATAAACACAGGCACACAGCACACACAAAATACTATTTTTTAAAAAACTGAGAGTAAAAAGCAAAAAATATGATAAAAAAACATCAAAACCTTTATTCAGAACTTGAAAACAAAGACCATCATGTTTCAACATATCAGTATATAATTATAGACCAAAAAGGCAGATATAAAATGAAAATTCATAATGTATCACTAATTAAACTTAAAGTCTGCCTAATTAGAATAAATAACCCAACAGCCATTCTGAAAACTTGAGTTAAAATACTTATGGCTCAAAGATGAAAAACACCTTAAGAGCAATTACATTTAAGTGTGCTTAGGCATTTAATGACTATTCAAATCATCTATAGTAGATGAATACATGTTTTAACAGGTTAAGAAATCATAAATATTTTAACTTTATCTAATAACCTACTTATCTGTTATCTAGCCTAATAGAATATTTGCTCTTACTAATTTATAAATTAGCTCAATATTCAAAATGCAGTGGTATAATTCATTTTACTCCCATACATTTGGAATATCTATGCTGTGTGTGTGTGTGTGTGTGTGTGTGTGTGTGTGTGTGTGTGTGTGTGTGTGTGAGTGTTACACAATATTCTACAAAGGAAGTCTCTTTATGCTACACAGATCCAGCTCAAGAATAAATCTTATGCAACATATAACACACATAACATGTGGCTTCTTTCTCACTGGTGCTTTTAAAGAGCCTCAACTACACTCATAATAAACAGGCATATGGTTAAATAACTAGAAGGAAACAGGGTACCTTCTGGAAAAAGTTTTAGTAATAGACCTAATGGCAGAGCTTAAGCTTCTGGTATTGCAGGCAAATTCCTAAGCTTACAATGGAAATAAGAAGCTGAGAATGGTGGTGTGCTTTTAATGCCAACAGGAATAAGGAGGCAGTGGATCTCTGTGAATTCAAGGGCTATGTTAAGACCCTGTCTCAAACTCCAGTCCCCCAAAAAAATAAGGCTATTTGTGGTATGAAAACACAATTAAAACCTCTTCTCATAACGCCTACCAATAAGCAGGATCTTATTAACAGAACCCAATTCACTGTATTTCATGCTGTTGTCACGTTTCAAATTACTAGTGCCAAATGCAATACTCAACAACTCAACTTCACAAACCCATCATTCCTTCAGTAAGTTCTAAACAAGAATTTAATGAATACTAGGAAGCACAGCAACATTTTTAAAGTATCATATTCATTTAGTGTTCCTCGTGTTTTCAGTGTTTTACAAAAGATTAAAAACATTTAGCTATTGGGAGAAAGGGTGAAGCAAACTCTAAAATAAATGAACCTCTTGAGTACAAATAAGTCTTCACCAAATATCAAGATAATACCAAGAAAACATTAAAATATTTCTTAATAAACGAAATGTTGCTATCTTGATAAATGCATGTATAAAGTATAAAGTATGAATACCCCTGAAACTCATAAAATCAGTCAATTTTTTTTCAATGATGATTATAAACATTTAAAATACTTTTGAGCCAAGCTGGGCAGTGGTGGTGCACACCTTTGATCCCAGCACTTGGGAAGCAGAGGCAGATGGATCTCTGTGAGTTTGAAGCCAGTCTTGTCTACAGATCGAGTTCCAAGACAGCCTCCAACAAACAAAAAACAAAACAACAAAAAACGGGAGGGGAGGAGATTTATGAGCCAAAATTTGGCAAACACACCTGGGTGGTGGTGGTATAGGTCTATAATCCCAGCACTTGGGAGGCAGAGGCAGGTGGATCTTTGAGTTCGAGGCCGGCCTTATCTACAAATTAAATTCCAACACAGCCAGAGCTGTTACAGAGAACCCCCCCAAAAAAACACTAGAGATACAAGAGTCAATTACCAACCAGATATAACAAAAATTAAAGAAATAACATCTATGTGGTTAAATTTAAATCTTTAAGTTGTTGTTGTTGTTGTTGTTGTTATTATTATGTGCATACCCATTATTATTATTATTATTATTATTATTATTATTATTATTATTATGTGCATACATTATTATTATTCCATTAAATCCAGTGACAATTTTCAGTATTCTTTCCTTCATTTCATCAAAGGGAATATATTCAACATTTGGATTGGGAGGACCTCTTGGTTCAGGAGCTGAAGTTCTGAAATCATCCATCACTTTCTCCAGTTTGAAAATAAAATAACCTTTAAATTGGGACCACTGAATCCTATAAAGAAAAAAAGTCAGAAAATATTAACAATTACCCTTGCAAATACTTAACACTAAATACAGACACTATAAAGATGCTCATGATTTCCATGCTATAATGCTTACACAGACTAGGAAAGTTTCCCACCATTAGAAGTATAAAATAAGCCACATCCAACACCTGAGAGATGAAGTGTCTTAGGGTTTCTATTATTGTGAAGAGACACCATGACCACAGCAACTCTTATAAAGGAAAATATTTAATTGTGGTAGCTTATTTATAGTTTAGTATATTATCATCATGGCAGGAAACAATGGTGCTGGAGAAGGAGCCCAGAGTTCTTACATCTTGGCCCACGGGCAATAGGAACTGGTCTGGGACACTGGGTATGACTTAAGCATACATAAGGCCTCAAAGCCTGTCTCCACAGTGACACACTTCCTCCAGCAAGACCACACCCAATCCAACAAGACCATTTCTCCTTATAATGCCACTTCCTATGAGCTTAAGGGAGCAAATTACATTCAATCTACCACACTAAGGCAGGAAGATCTCTGAGAGTTTAAGGTCAGTCCTGTCTACAAAGTAAGCTCTAGGCCAATCCACACAGTGGATTGGGGGGGGGGCTCCCCGCAGGACCAAACCCCGCCCCCCCCAAAAAAAACAACGAAGTTCTTTTTTTCCTGCCTTTTCAGTCACTGTCATGTGAGGTATTCACGGTACTGGTCCCAGTCTATCTGACATAGTAATAAAGTACACAAGCTACAAAGATGGCTCAATGTTTAAGGCACGCACATCTCCAGCATAAGGACAAACAAGAGTATGGATCCCCAGAATGAAGTACTAGGTAGAATCAGTGGCCTGTCTATAATTCTAGCACTTAGAAGGCAAACTGAGGCTGGGCATTGGTGGCGCACGCCTTTAATCCCAGCACTCGGGAGGCAGAGGCAGGCGAATCTCTGTTGAGTTCGAGGCCAGCTTGGTCTCCAGAGCGAGTGCCAGGATAGGCTACAAAGCAACACAGAGAAACCCTGTCTCAAAAAAAAGAAGGCAAAGATGGAAATCCCTGAAGCTGTCTGGCCAGCCAAACAAGCTGTACCAGCAAGCTCTGGGTTCAACAAAAGACTTGACCCCACTCAACAAATTATGGTGGAAAAAGAATTCCAACAGCATCCTTTGACTACAAAGATGAAAACACACACACACACACTAACATATAGACATGCACACATGAATGAGACAAAATATACAAGTAACCTATTTTTTATGTCTATTCACTGATGGGTAGTAATTTCCTCCAAAATAAAACACTAACACTGACCAGCTCACTACAACCCATCTTCCCCAAGCTCATATAAGCAGTAAGAACTGATGACTTTGTAAGTGTATAGATGTTGTCTGAAAGCTTGTATGTGAACCCCCTGGGTGCCTGCTGCCCAAGGAGGCCACAAGAGTGTGTCAGATCTCCTGAAACTGGAGTTGCAAGCAATTGTGAGGTGCCACATCGGTGCTGGGAATCAAAACCCAGGTACTCTAAAAGAACAACAGCAAGTGCTCTTAACCCCAAACACTCTTATACAAGCTGAGTAACCCAGAAGACGCCCAGATCAGCTCTGCTGCCTAAAAGATACATTCTCTGACCTGATCAGCTGGCTAAAAGTGGCAGAGTGTGTTCCATATTTCCAGGTTTTGTATCTTGCCAGGTATGCTGGGGTTGACTTTTAATGATAAAACTGCCTTAGAGTCACTTCTGCTCTTGTAATTAACACTTTATCCATACTCCTTTAAGTTAACACTAGTATAGGCTTGAATAGGAATGACCCCCATAGGCTCTGAATTTATGTGGTCATTAGGGAGTGGCATTACTTGACAGGGATTAGGAAGTGTGGATTTGTTGGAGAAGTATGTCACTGGGGGTGGGCTTTGGGGTTTCAAACACTCAAGCCAAGCCCAGTGTCTCTCTCTTCCTGCTGTCTGTGGGTCATGATATAGACGAACTCTCAGTTCCTTCTCCAGCACCCTGTCTGCCTGCTTCCTGCCAAGCTGATAATGGACTAAACCTCTAAACCATTGTAGATCAGGCTGGGTTTCGAACCCATAGAGATCTACCTGCCTCTGCCTCTAAACCAGCAGTTCTCAACCTGTGGGTTGAGACCCCTTTGGGGGAGGGGGTTCAAACAACACTTTCATAGGAATGGCCTAAGACCACTAGAGGATACAGATATTCACATTATGATTTACAACAGTAGCAAAATTAGAATTATAAAATAGCAATGAAAATAAGTTTATGGTTGGAGTGCCCACAACATGAGCACACATTAAGAAGGTTGTGAACCAGCCGGGTGGTGGTGGCGCACGCCTTTAATCCCAGCACTCAGTAGGCAGAGGCAGGCGGATCTCTGTAAGCTCAAAACAAGCCTGGTCTACAAGAGCTAGTTCCAGGACAGCCTCCAAAGCCACAGAGAAACCCTGTCTCCAAAAACCAAAAAAAGAAAAAAAAAGAAAAAAAAAAAGGTCATGAACCACTACCTAAAATGTAAGCAAGTCCTAAAATTAAAATCCTTCCTTTAAGAGTTACTGTGGTCATGGTGTCTCTTCAGAGACACTGAACATTTGACTAAAACAACCAGTAAGTATAAACTGAGCCAGTGCTCATGGAGGTGGACTTTGGTGATGTCCTTACTTTGGTCTGACAATGGTTCCTAATCAAAGGTGAGTAGAGGTTTGTTCATGTCTCTCTGGGAATAGTACCAGATCTTTTAATCCTTCCCTCACATTTTACCATTAATATAAGAAAAGATGTGAAGATGATACCTGAACAGTCTAAATTATACAAAAGTTAGGGATGACACCTATTTTCTTGTGCAGACAGTAATCTCACTAAATGTAATTACAGAAAAGAGTATTAATTTGCTACATGACTGTCTAGCATCCCTATAAACTAGGAGTATAGTTTCCAATTGTGATTCAGGAGATCAGACAATGCTGTATGGAAATGATGATAACCTAGCAGCAATCCAGAAGCTGCATCAAATCACACTAACATTACTATAAGAAATTCAGTTTTGTTTTGTTCTGTGCTTTAAATCTGGGGCTGGAGATGTAACACAGTTGGTAGAATGCTCACCTAGCATAGATGGTGTGCCCTGGGCTTGATCCCTAGCACTCTACAAATTGGGCATGGTAATGTAAAACTGTAATTAGAGCAGTTGTGAAATGGAGACAGATCATCAGAAATCCAAGATCAGCATGGGCTAACATGAGATAAAACCCTCCCCATCCTTTTCATTTTAACAACCCACAACCACCAAGGTCAAGAGCAGTTCAAAGGTCCTGAGGAAGTGCAAGTAGTGTCACAGACTGTAATTCCAGCTACTCAAGAGGCTGAGACTGGAGAATCACTTGAACCCAGTTCCAGATCAGCCTGTCTCAACATAACATTTCCTGAAGAAGTAGGAAGGTTCGTGATCAACAAAATTAGTTCATAGACTTTGGATATTAAATGGAAAATTCATGACAGATTTTTGTGCTGATACACAGAAACTACAGGATTGATGTAGGTTTAGAATTGTTGGCAGGGCAAAGAGCTTGCTGCTAAATCTGATGACCTGAGTTCAATCCCTGGAACCTACACTGTGGAGAACCAAACTCTTGCAAGTTGCCCTCTGATCTCCATGGGCCCTGTTACACATATGTCTATCACCCCACAGTTAATTTAAATTTTAAAAATGCCCCTTCATCACTGGCATGGAGGCCCTTGCCTGTAATCCTAGCAGAGGGACTCCTATCTCAAATATCTACAATGGGACTGCTTGGACCAGTCCTTCCAAAGGTCACAAAAAACCAAGAGACGATGCGGAAGCAGCCTGCACACCTGATACTGACTAAAAGTGATTTAACTATGGCTCCTACTTGCATCAGACAGAGGCATGTTTCGCCTCAAGATTGAGGTGTTAAAACAAAAGGGTGAGGAGATGTACTTGGCCTGTCTGCAGGAATGAATATACTCTAAAGGCAGTGGTTTTCAACCTTTGGGTCACAATTCCTTTGGGTGTCTGATGGCCCTTTCACAGAGATCACCTTAGATCATAGGAAAACACAGACATTTATAATTCATAACAGTAGGGCCGGGCGTGGTGTCGCACGCCTTTAATCCCAGCACTCGGGAGGCAGAGCCAGGCGGATCTCTGTGAGTTCGAGACCAGCCTGGTCTACAAGAGCTAGTTCCAGGACAGCCTCCAAAGCCACAGAGAAACCTTGTCTCAAAAAACCAAACAAACAAACAAAAATTCCTAACAGTAGCAAAATTACAGTTATGAATTAGCAACAAAATAATTTTATGGCTGGGGGTCACCACAACATAATGAACTGTATCAAAGGGTCATGGTATTAGGAAAGTTGAGAACCAGGGCTTTAAGAAGATATATATGCTCCCCTCTTTTGCTGTTCTTGGAGAGGGCCTGGGTTAGGTTTACAGCAATCACATTCCTGCTGACAACCACCTATAAACACAGTTCCACACTTGATGTTCTCTCCTGACCTCCAAGGGCCTCTCTGACTCCAGAAGCACCAAGTATGCATGTGGTGTACATATATACATATAGGCAAAACACTCGTACACATAAATATCTTGAGATGGCACCAGTAAAGGTAAAATGTGTCAGTTAACAAAGACCTCTGTTGAGCTGAACATGTACATAACAGATAATTAACTGCAGCAAGTCTTTACCCTAGAAATACTTTCACAGGCACTTTAAATATTCCTCTTAGAAAAGAAAATTTTCAGTATTACTTCCCAACTTATTTCTATTGCTTTATTTAAAAATAAAGAAAATATATCAACTGACAAATAAGTATAGAAAATAAGGTAAAAAATTATCACTTAGCTTTGTAAAACTCTAGTCAGTAAGATTAATACATGAAC